AAAAAAAAAAAAAAAAAAAAAAAAAAAAAGGCTGAGAAACAGAAGTAACCAATTTTCCACCTTGCAATTCAAGTGATAAAAATCGAAGGTCATAGATTAAAGCACCAGTTAGCTGATCTCACACATCCACATCATGCACACAGCACAACTATGATATATAGCATGAGCATGATACACAACAATACTACTGTGTTTTTAAAAAATGTACCACTTTCACCTTCGAATGCTTCATTTCCCGACACAGCTGCTGCATCGACAGACTTGCCCATAGGCTGTTGATCATGTTTATGCACCAGTAAATAAGTTGGTTTGTCATTGCTGCTTACAATCTTGGAACTTTCCTTCAGTACATACTGGCAGAGCAAGAGAGAGAAAGAGAGAGAATAGCTCAATAAGTTGATTTGGCTATATATGGTAAGAATTGAAATATAAACAATTGAACTGCCATATGAGATAGCAATAACAAGCAGTATCACTTTAAACATCAAAAGTGAATCTACACGAGCTATCATGGTACAATAACCTGATTCTAAAACCAGATATCAATGAGATTAAAAAGGAAAAATGGAACTACAAAAGAAAGAAATAAAATAAAGGCAAATAAGGCCACTTAACAAAGAAACAGACCACCTCCCCTGGAGAAAGACATTATTCCATAAATGCATTCATCTTCCCAATCATGATGTTGTGTTGTGCACTACTCTATACCATTATTGTCAATATTTTACAGAATCACCAACTCCTTGCCATTTTCCTTATCAATGAATATTAATATTCATTAAGGGCTTGATTGATTATGAAATAATTTGTTCCAAGTGAGTTATTTTGTTTAAGTATAGTTAATTTTGAAAAAGGTGGTATAGTTAGTTGTTAGTGGAATTTTAAGAATGTATTAAAATAATACAACAACAACAACTAACATACCCAGTATATTCCCAGTATATTCCCAACTGGTTGGGGTCTGGGGGGTCAATTGTACACAGACCTTACCCTTGTAATTATACAAGGAGGTTGTTTCCGTAGCGACCCAAGATGCATTGCATCGTTTGATATATTTTTTTTCTAAAAACTTCACTAATAGAAGAAGCACTAGAATTTAATTGAGCCATTTTGATCATTGAATTAAAGTTGATGTAATGTGTAAGAATGATTAGTTTAAATTATTTAATTATATAAATAATATTAAAGATAGTGGGGTTGAGTTAAAGTTGTGTTAGATTTTGAGTATGAAATAAGTGGGCAAAAGTTTAATTTTGGTCCGCTAACTTGTCCATTGTCCATTTTTGGTACACTATATTTCCCCTCATCAAAAATGGTCCATCATGTTACACTTTTCATCAGTTTTAGTACACTCATACCGTGGCCCGGAATTACGAGATGACAAATCAGGTTTTTATACGTCAATATACTATCTCTTCACGTAGTTCTAATCCCAGTCCACGTCATCTCGTAATCCCGCCAACTGGAGTAGTGTACTAAAACTGATGAAAAGTGTAACATAATAGATAATTTTTTATGAGGGGAAAGATAGTGTACCAAAAGTGGACAATGGACAAGTTAGCGGACCAAATTGGATTTTTGCCGAAATAAGTGTGAGTAAATTAATTCATAAACAATAATGATAAGGTCAGAGCCTAAGTTGAAAGACAAAAATAAAGCACTTCCACAGTGGAGAGATTTGATGATGATCTCAATCAATTCCTATTATTTGGAAAAAAAAATCATAAACTATGAAATGTTCAATTTACCATGGTAGAAGAAGTCCTCCTTTTCTCCAAGCCTCTCTTTGAGGAACCGGAGAGTGGACTCCTGGAAGACGTTCCACTCACTTTTCTAGTTGGCTTTCCATTCACAACAGTTCTCTATCAAGGGTCGAGAAGAAATCAGATACGTGTAAGAAATTGGAGAGAAACTGTTTCAAGTGTTCCATTGAATAAATTAAACTAGAAGAAAGTAGATTGCAATACTAACAACAATGAAAAATGGGAAGGAAATAAAATTGAGAGAGGTACGTCAATTTTGATTCACACTATACTCATCCCTAAAGTATCACTCCTTTCTTTGACGTCAATAAAGGGATAATAAATCAAAGCTGCAGACACCAGATTTTTCTACAATACCAGCAAGGAGTATTTGTGACCTTCGAAACATTTGTCTATTCTTATGCATGTGTGCTGTGCGCACATGCATGTGTGTGTGTGTGTGTGTGTGTGTGTGAGAGAGAGAGAGAGAGAGTGCGCAGTTAACTATACAAGTAACCATTGACGCCGTTGGGTCGCATATCTTTGTGAATCAGATACACAGATGTAAAAAAACGATGAAATTGTCAGTTGGATTCCACAAATGAAAATCCTACCCGAGCTTCACCCTTTGCAGCTCTTTTCTGCCGAATATAGTCCATTAGAGGAGTCACAACGGGATCATCCCTTGGAGCACCTAAAACAAAAGGCACAGTTGCTTCAACCACAAACTAAATAATACATGAAAAAATGTTCTCTCCTTTCACAATTCCATGCTGTCAAATTTCCACTTGTATTCAAAACTTGAGCTCATATTTAAGACTGACCTGCACGCTCTGCTTCCTTCCTCTCCAACTGTATCTCTGCACTGGGAAGATTTTCAACAGGCTTTGCGAGAAGTTCAAGGAACTCCAAATATTCAGGATCTACAAGTTTGTCAATAAATTATTACAAGTTCAGGATCAAAAACATTGTTAAATACATAGTTTTAAATGGCGAATGGCGAGGCGAGGCGATCCGCCCATAGCCTCGCCACGAGGCGAGGCGATTCGCCATGGCGAGGCCTCGGCAACACAAGCAATCAAAGCTTAAAAAATATATTTATATAGGTAGTAATATCATATATTTAAGTTTAAGTGTCAAAAATAACCTTAAATATCCTCAAAGAAAATAATATAAATTAAATTTGGTTGTAATTACTAAAAGCATCTCAAACCTAAATGTGAATACTAGTAACAATTAAAAAAAAAGAAATTGAATTTACACTGTGTAGTAACATAAAATAGAAAAATGTAAAGAGGGTAAATAGAAAGTGTTAAGTAAAAATAAATGAAATAAAGATGTTGCACCCTTTCACCTTTGACTATTGACCATACTAGTAAACATAAATAAAAGTAAAAAAATGAAGAAAGAAGAAAAAGAAAGAAGGTAGAACAGGAAAAAACAGAGATAAGGGAGAAGGAAAAGAAAGGAAAAAAACATGCATCACCGACCATCTTGGTGGTGAGATGGTGGCCGGAGTTCAGAGGAGGACGGAAATGGATGGGTCAGCCGTGGGTTTCTACAATTTTCAAACATGAGAAGCCTAAGGAGCGCTTTCACATAACCCCTAGTTTGGGGAGAAGCCATTTATAGGGATTTTTCACCTTCAGCTTTCCTATTCTCGGTCTAAAACTGTAGTTTTCAGTTCGTGGGTATGAAGTGAAGAAAGACTCTTTTAATTTTATCCTCTTTTTTAAAAAAAATGTACTGCACCTTTAATTTCTCTGAAAGGTGCTGAGGTGCGCCTCACAGGCGCCTCTCGCCACGTGAAAAGGCGAGCCGAGGCGACCTGAAGCGAGCGCCTCGCGAACAGGGTCGCCTCAGGCAGTGGCGAGGCGATGTAGCCCTCGCCTCGGTCGCCTCGCCTCGAGGCGTCGCCATTTTAAACTATGGTTAAATATATGCCACATGCAATCAGCATACCATATTTTACCTTTCAAAATAGTCCCCACACGGCCATCCTTCTTTGACCATTGCTTTGGAACACGTTGTGAAGGAGCATACTCAACAATTGTTTTAAATTGAGTTCCTAGAATAAAAGCACAATTGAGTCTAGTCATCAATCATCATATAACAAATTTGTATGGCTTCTTTCTCAAAAACATATTATCTTCCTTCAATCAGCTGCATTACTAGTTTACATATGCAAAAAAAATTATGTACGCCATTACAAGCCTCAAAAACTGCTCTTAAGGGTGCTTTCGAAAATTACCTTTCTCATTGACAAAAACATGGCCATTAAAATACTCAGCGAACTCTATCACATCTTCTGGTTTATTAAAGTCAATGTAAGCTCTAGAATATGTCACATGCTTTGAGCTGCAAACAAAAGTGCAAGTCAAAGAATGACTCAGCATTCTGGTTTATTAAAGTCAATGTAAACTCTAGAATATGTCACATGCTTTGAGCTGCAAACAAAAGTGCAAGTCAAAGAATGACTCAGCAACTCAATGAAATGTCCTGGTTTACTCAAGTCAGCATAGGCTGCTGAGACATATTCACGAAAGAGAAGAAATCAGTATTACGGGACACTCACAATATAGCAAATTAACTTAATATGACGAAAGTAAACTTTGGGGCAACGCCTCATGAAGATGACATATAGATTGGTTTCCAACTTCCTATATTTTGTTTTTGTTTTTTTTCCTTCCCTCTACAAGGAAACCCAACCGCAAAGGAATGAACAAGTATTGTAATGACAAGCTTTCAATTCTAGATAAAATGACATCTTGGCATCACATTAACATCTTCTCAAAGTCATTTTGGGGGAGAGTGACTTGCTGGCCCAGATAAAGCCCTGCCGGAGCACAAAAAGCATGAGGATCATGGCACAGATTGGGCAAGCAAGTTGCTCTCTTCCCAAAAAACACAAGCAAGATTTACATCCTGCCCATCATCACCAAGTCCAAAAAAGTATGTCACGAAGATTAGACACTGATTGGAAAACAAAGTTCTTTCTACTATGATGTTCAAGCAATAGTATATTATCCACATTATATAATTAGCAGTCCATCTTTTTTCTCTCATATAACACTGAAAACACTATCCTCAACATTGGGGACCACTGCAAGGATAAATAAGCACAAAAGAAACCCCAAAAGGCATATCTCCCTAGAAAGGGCATTAAATCCTAGAATCCATATTCGATGTCAATGGTCTCTGTCTCTCTTTAGACACGCATTATGGGCCATAACCTATTAAATGGCAACTTTCCAAAATCTAAATAAACTTGAAGAGAACAGCATTGACATCAAATTTTTCACTTCAATGCACCAGGCCACAGTTCGCGTGCAGGATATTCGTAGCAGCATTTCTTTCAACAGATATTCGTAGTAGCATTTCTTTCAACAGAGTACCGCATCAAGAAAACATAAACCTTACAGCATGCGGCGCATAGGCCCATGATAACCGAATGCTATCACTACCAAAAAATAACACTCAAAAGAATTAAAGATGAATCTAAGACCAGATAAACATAATGATGCACAAATACAATGATCCAATGGGTGTAGTAAACAGATAAGGAGCAGATAAAAAACTGCATAGGACAGAAAACTAATTCCGAGCAACCAAAACCACCGAGCTGAGAATAAAGACAACAGATTGTATGAACAAAGATAACATAATTTCAAACCCATCAGCTTGACAACTAATTGCCCCATAGCTTTTTGAGGAGTGACATATTCTCAACAGTATATTTCTGATGAGAATGATAAACCTTGGAGCAGTAGTTGCATACTGACACATGAAAATGCATCTAGCCAACTATAAACTTCTCCATCAAGCCAGAATATCATAAGAAGCATAGCTCAAACAAACAGAAATACTGCAAGCGAGAGCCAGAGGTATAATGTGAAGTTTGGTTCCACAAATCCAACCAAGACACACAGTATAAAGTCATAGGAGGCAGGACTAACAGAAAATGTAACATATGTTATGCCTAACAGGTCTAAACCACTAACCTGAAAGATAATCAGATAAAATAAGCTGTTAGACAGCCCCCATCCAGTCTAAAAGGATAAACATGCATTTACTATTTCGCTAGGATTTCAGTATCATAGTCATTCCGCATCACTCTTCAATGTTTTTGGAAAAACAAGTATGAACATTGTAGCATCAGTGATGCAATCATGATTAACATGAAAATTGAAATAATACCAAATTTCTTCCCTTGGCACATAAAATCATGAAACACAAATAATAAATAGAGGCAAAACCAAACAACACTACATAAATTCCATAAGGATATTCCCTCCAGATACAAAGCAACAAAGTTAACATCTCTGAATCAAAAATAACCAAGCTGAAGAAATATCCAGGCCTAGTAGATCATATATATACAAAAATAAAACTATAGTCTTGATCCAAGGCCTAATAAATAAATACATCTTCCTAAACTTTTGGATTACTCATAATACCGGGAAGTTCCTGAAAACTGAACAACACTGGCATGAAGCTACAGATCATGTATGCACTTGCAAACTTCACCCAAGGAATGTGGAACTGTCTATCCACATCTGACTAGACTGAGAGCATATATGGAAGACCTCGACAACAGGTACTCGTTCCAAAAAAAATCTCAAGAGTTCAAGGATGCCCCAAAAGGTTAAAAAAATGATTGCAAAAAATGAACTGTCCCATCTGAATCCTTATGCACAGGGAACAAATATAGACCTAGCTCACACACACTTCACACACATAAGTATTCTTCTGAAGATAGACGAAGAAAGACCCACCACACACGGTTCATACTTAAAAAGAGTCTTACAAACCTTATAAAACCATTAATCCGAAATAGATCATCAGTCGAACCCTGACAAAATAAAAGTAAATGCAGTCCAACTATTAATAGAAACAAAAAAAGACTTAAATCGCACCTTTGTTTGCCCGGTCGAAAGACAAGCCAGTGGTAGCGGCCCAAGAAGCGTGAATCAACCTGCTCGGTGAGGTTTGACTGAGAAATCGTCGGCGGCAAGTGCCGCAGCACCACTTTAGTTCGATCTAGAGGACCCTTCATGCGCAACGAAACCCTAATACCAATCCTATAGTTGATAAGACGAATTACACTCCAATTAACTCGAATTCCAGTCGATTACAAAAACTCAAAAGCCCTTAAATTACATCTCTGAAAAGTGGATTTTGCTCATCGAACGGGTGATACTTTCTCCCTGAACCCTAATTGTGAAACGTGGGTTTCGGAGAGGCCATGAGAGAGAGAGAGAGAGTCGAACAGAAAGGGGGAAATTTTGTGAGAGTGAATTCGAGAGAGAAATTGTGTATTTCAGAAGATATACGTGATTGGGTGAATCACCTGTTCCGCACAATTGTACGTATTTGTATTTTCCTTCTCTATATTATATTCTGATAGAGATGTTAAACGGGCTAGCCCTAGCGGTTACGGGCTAGCCCTAGCGGATTTTGGGCTAAACAGTTCGGGCCTAAAAAGCCCGAATTTAAACGGGCTACCAATAAAAGGATCTAACCCTAACTCTAGCGGGCTTCGAGCTAAACGGGCTAAGCGGGCTTTAATAATAATAGTAATAATAGTAATAATAATAATAATGATGTATCAAAAAATATCAAAAATAAAAAGAAAAAAATTACAAAAAATTACAACGACTAATTAACGATTGTTTTCAACGGTATTTAGTATTTGCCGCTCTATATATACAACTACACATCATATATGAACACATACTACAAACTCTTAAATAATATTTTTTTTTCAAAAGAAAAAAATATTCGAATTATTACTTACAATTACCATTTCACTACTTATTTTGTACGCTTTGGAAATTTTTACGATATTATATCACTATAAATTCTATCACTATGTTTCATTTGTTAGGTTTTTGTCTCATTTGTTTCCTATTAGTCGTTCTGATTGAGTTAAATATTTTGGTGTCGAGTACAATAAGAATATTGTTAATAATTATCTTTCAAAATCAATATAATCCGTTACAGCTCATACTTATATGTGAAGTGGAATAGCAAAATTGTAATATACAATGAATCTAAGAGTATATTACTTACTTGTTGTAAATATTTACAACGCCCAACTCAAGTTAAACGGGCCAGCCCTAGCGGGTTTCGGGCTAGCCCTAACGGGCTTCGGTTTAAACGGTTCGGGCCTAAAAAGCCCTGATTTAAACGGGCTACCAATAAAAAGCCCTAGCTCTGTTTTTTTTCGGGCTAAATGGGCCGGCCCGTCGGGCCAAGGACCGTTTAACATCTCTAATTATATATATAAGTCCAATGAAATACTATGAATCATGTGGGATATGATGTAACAATAACTAAAATTAGTACAACGTCCGTGAACTACTGAGGTATTGAATTAAGAAACATTTACATATGAAAATATAAAAGATAACGTAAAAAAAAAAATAATAATAAAACTTTTTAAATTGTATTGTTAGTTTTAAATTGATGCTAGAGTGTTATACATGAACATGATATTTCTTAATCCGTTAGATTTTTCAAAATTTAAGGAATTTATTTAAATACCATTATCCTGAATTTTACTTTGTATAATAGTAATTGTAAAATAAGCACATGTAATGGTCGCTTAGGTAAGAGCAACTCCAACCGGTGCGCATACGTAATTGCAACGGGAAAATTTGAGAAAAAAAATACTCCAACCGGTGCCGAAACTGCAACGCAAAATGCGATCTGAACCCTCTCTCTCTTCTCCCAAACGCAAATATGCGTTTGTACTGTTCACATACGCAAAAAATTTTGTGAATTGTGTTTTGACCACAAAAAGTTTTGTTATATGTATTTTGGCCCCTTTTGATTATGAATTGTGTTTCTTATATTTTATATAATATATCTATTTGCTTTATATTTACAAAATATTATCACTATTTATATTAACAATGATAAAATATATTTATTTACTTTATATTTTAGTCCCTTCATTTAATTTAGATTATATGATAATTAAATTATAGATAATACTTATATATTTATTTAAAATAATAATAATAATGTAAAATAATAAGAAAATTAATTTCATAATGATTAGATAGTATGATATTTAAATAATAAATATTATATCTATCATTTAATTTTATACATTTCACAATAATAATGTAAATATGCATATTAATTATGGTATTTTTAATTAACAATAAAAGAAAACACTGCATTAAATAACAAAAACATTACGAATACATATTGAAATAACACTAGTACATGATAGATCACGGTTTAAGGAAAAACATTTCAATAACTAGTACTGAAATAAAAATACAACATCACACGGTACTAAAATAAAAATACATCATAAACCCAACAACTAAAAACAAACACGAATACTTAGTACTCTGGTAAGTTGCCACTGCCTCCTCCAAGATCATTGAAAAATTGGCCAAATGCATTGGTTGGATACGGATCCAGTTGGGCTTGTTGAGCTCTTTTCTCCAAGATTCGTGTCTTTTCAGCTTCAATGTACGCTCAAACTTTAGGATCTTCAATGGAACTGACATCTTGAAACAGAATTTTATTTTCTTCCCTCATTTCTTTTAAAGCGTGGGATCTATTGCGCATCTCCATTTGGTGTTTTATTTGGTCGTTTGCATTTTTCATCTCATCAACAAGTCTTTTGTTTGCTTCCTTCATCGCGTTGATGAGCGATGATGAATCATCATTTACCTTTCTTTTTAGTTTGGCTTTCTTGACCCCGATAGGTCTTTCAGATGGAGAACCAGTAGAAAATTGATTTGAGTCGCTTAAATTTATAGAAAATGAAGAAATACCTGCAGATTCTTGTCGGGCAGACTCGGGAGTTCAATTTTTTGACTCCGAAGATGGATAACAACCAGATTGTTTTTTCTTGCTCCTCGAAGCTCCATCTTTAAATTTTTCAAAGTTTTTGATAATAACCCAAACATGATCATATTTCCATCCGGATTTGAATTTGGAATCTTCCTTGAACAAAACTTTTGCTTTGACCATCTACAATTTTTCATAAACAATTAATCATAGCTAATATAAATAATAAATTTAATAAATAAAAAATACAACAAGATTTGAGTACTCACTGTATCTTCATTTGATGCACCACTCTGATGCATATCTTCTACTGCTTTTATGCATGCATGGAGCCTCTTGGCTGCCTTTTCAATTGTTTGAATCCGTGCTTGCATAGATTTTTTGCTACGAACCTCCCAATGCTCAAGCCGTCCTTCATTGAAAGCATTTTCTACACGGGACTAAAATCGATCAGATGATTGGTATACCCCAATAATTGGGTCCTGAGAAATATCCATATAAACTTGACATAAAAGAAACATCTTCATCATGGTTGTAGAAAGATGAACGGATCGACATTCTTACAAGAAGTTGGTTTTGATAAAGCTTTAGTGTATAGAATATAAATGTTAGGGTGTTGTCACTACAATATCATAGCTTCTTTTATAGTGAAAGACCCTCTCCCCTTTCCATGGTTTAACCCGAAATGACCACTCTCTGCAAAAGCCCTCACATCTCTAAATGCTTTGACCCGAAAATGACCACTCTCTGCAAAGTTGATCACGCTTATCCATGTTCTGACCCGAAAATAACATATCATTGCAATGTCCCCCACCTCTCTTAATGCTTTGACCAGAAAAAGACAACTCTCTGCAAAGTTGATCACGCTTATCCATGTTCTGAACCGAAAATGACATATCACTGCAATGTCCCCCACCTCTCTCAATGCTTTGACCAGAAAATGACTTCTCTCTGCAAAGTTGATTACGCTTATCTATGTTCTGACCCGAAAACGACGTATCACTGCAATGTCCCCCACCTTTCTGAATGCTTTCACTAGAAAAAGACAACTCTCTGCAAAGTTGATCACGCTTATCCATGTTCTGACCCGAAAATGACATATCACTGCAATGTCCCCCACCTCTCTCAATGCTTTGACTAGAAAATGACTTCTCTCTGCAAAGTTTATCACGCTTATCCATGTTCTGACGCGAAAACGACATATCACTGCAATGTCCCCCACCTCTCTCAATGCTTTGACCAGAAAATGATTTCTCTCTGCAAAGTTGATCACGTTATCCATGTTCTGACCCGAAAATAACATATCACTGCAATGTCCCCCACCTCTCTTAATGCTTTCACCAGAAAAAGACAACTCTCTGCAAAGTTGATCACGCTTATCCATGTTCTGACTCG